GCAATGATATGTAACTACTTTAGCATTCCGTTCAAAGATGTATTTGCAGTCAGAAACTCTGGGTTAACTTGTGAAGAAATTCGAAAGTTTGATGTACTCATGAGTAGGGGATTTTGATGTAATTATGTGAGGTCCATCGCAGCCAGTTTCCAAATCAGATAGTCGTCCACATGCCTGGAAAAGCACTAGACTGCAGTTTCAGCCAGTTGGGCATCGTCAGTAGTGCGCATCCATCGGATCCGTTAGGATTCGAACCCATGACCACCAGCGGCTTGAACCGCCAGTCAGCAGCTTATGCCACTGGGCCACGGGGCTATGTCGTACATATCTACTGTTAGTGGACGTCGTGTTTTTCGGGGCCAACCCTGTCCTCTGCAACGTTCCTAACTTGCATGGCAGTGGAGGATAAGACGCGCTATATCGCAGTTAGCTTGTAAATCATGACGGTCCGAAGCAGTCCGTCGTGGCCCAGTGGCATAAGCTGCTGACTGGCGGTTCAAGCCACTGGTGGTCATGGGTTTGAATCCTAACGGGTCCGATGGATGAGCACTACTGACGATGCCCAACAGGCTGAAACTGCAGTCTAGTGCTTTTCCAGGCATGTGGACGACTATCTGATTTGGAAACTGGCTGCGATGGACCTCACCTAATTCGAAAGTTACTGGTGAACCGCTCAAACCAGTGGACAGTACTTTTGCACCGGTTACCAATGACCCTGAATTGATGTGTTCCGCAATCTGACGGTCAGGAACAAGTGAGCGATGTGCGACTGCGTGCGCAAGCAGGATTTTATATTGTTGTAACTGACTGTAACTGAGTGAACAAAACTGAATGCTCATGAATATCAAGCGTTACCCACCCGCAACAATGGACTTCATGAACGGTTTCGCACTTATTCGCACCCGGCAGGTACAGGCCGCAGGGACTTCGATCCGAATACGGATGCTGGGGAGTCAACAGAAACTTCTACTCCTAGGTCAGAAGGCGCATCGATTGTGAACATTGAACTAAGCCCTTCTTCCCCTGTGCACACGATGCTGATTGTAAATAATGATTCAAGCTATCCCCTCACCATTTAGACAATATAATGTAAATTCGCTCAATACAAATAAGAAATATCACGAACCGATTGAACTGCATACTACATTCGATATCTATACAATTTTGGTTACTGGCAACCCTCTTCGGAAATGCTACCTGTCATGTATACCAGTCCATCCTCATGAGATTACCGGGATGTGCTATGGAAGGCAGCAAGAAGGCGACGAGTTGGAAATGAGGGTGAATATGACATGCAGTCGTTCGGGCGTAAATGTCATATCAATGTGCATCCCATGTGTGTGTTACCCCCAACCTCATACAGACCACATATTTGTTCAAGGTGGATCCACAATCTGTAGCGTGTGTAGTTTTTCTGTGAATCGGCTAGGTGCAACGGAGGTGCTAGCATTTGTGTGACAGATGTACGAGCTGTCAGTGACCTCTTTGTTGGACTGGGTGAACGATTGACAGTTCGGTTACAAAAAAAGCTATTCTGAATGCGCTGTTAAGCAGATGAGTATTTGTGCTGGAAGTCCACACCAATTTAGCTCGGAGCACTGGTCTTTGAGACTGTGTAAAAGTACATGACGCCTGCATCCAGGAAGACATTATAAGGGGCTTTGGCTGCACGTATATATGATTCAGCGCGTCTTTCAAAGAACGGAACCCGAGGGAACATGTGGGTGAAGGATACACTCACTACAGAATCGGCGTGAAGGAAATTCCTTCGGTCATTATTATAACACCCGATCGCTCTCATCGCAGCCGCCACTCCGTTAAGCAGATTTCAAGAGGGAAATGTCAATCTCGAACGGCTGAAATTTCAGCCGAAGTCCCTGGAAAACGAAGAAAATTGATGGCATTGATTGAAATAGTGCACCTACGTTAGTCAACTCATCTGACCGATAGAGGTGGATGTGGTATATCATGGTATACTCATATTCCATACTGGATAAACACTAGTGGGGCATTCATACTGCGTGCCTCCTCACCGGTGTAAGAAATGTGAAAAGGTAGGCAATAAAGTAGCCCGAGTTTCATCAGAAACCGACATAATGGAGAAAGTGCAATGCACCCGATGATCCCAGTTTAGCGAATGTAGACACGACTACCCGTTGAGTTGATGCCTTCCAGTATCCTTCTCCGAATGTGAATATGTCTACCTACAAAGTAGAGACAACAAGGGCTCCAGGTCCACGCCAATCTCAAATAAATCTTAACCCACTAGGACATTGTATCTTTTTCCCGGACAACTGATCAATCACACTGTGGAGCACAGGATTTCAATTTGTAGAAAATCCACGTAAACGATTTGTAAGATGGATGTGCTCTCCAGTGGGCAAAAATCACTTCAACTGCTATCAGGGATAATGCATGGGAAAAATTTTCCCCGTTTACTCATTAGTGACTCTGGTGCGTTCATTCACTTTCTGTGTGGATATATGTAAAGCGATAAGTAGCTAACTTTTAAACGGCGAGTGTAAATATCTATTTCATTGTCAACTTATTTTTGCCAACAAAGACTAACGCGAAGGTTGAGATAATTAACGCGGAATCTCGCTGATCTCAGTTGCTCCCAAGATTTTTGTGTCCATCTTACTACGCAGGCTTTTCTCAACCAGAGAGAGTATTCTCGAGAAGAACAATGCGGTTTTCACCTAGGCCGAAGTTAAATTGATCAAGACTTAACGCTCCGACAGGTTTTTGAACTCCGCAACGTCCACCGTCAAGCAGCAGTCGCAGTGTTTTTGGACATTCGCGTGGCATTCGATTCAGTATACAAAGCTGCCCTGTGGAACTGTCCATAAAGGATGGGTATGCCAGACAAGTTTGTTGCCATTCTGTGGAACTGTACTGTCACACGTAGGGCAAAATTAGGGCTTACGACAGACTTTCCTCTTCGTTTGCTGTCACTAGCGGCGTTCGCCAAGGTTGCGCTATTTTACCGTTCCTCTTCCACCTTACAATCGCCGATGTCGCGCAACGAGCGCTAGGTGTCCAGAACTGCGAAGTTAAACTACGCCGATGACATCGCTTTGTTGGGTGACAATCTGCAAACCGTCCATAACACCCTGAACCGCTTAGCGATGGAGATATCCAATTGTGGATCGTATTTCGCCCCGGCCAAATGTAAACTGCTATTTCAGGATTGGCGGGGACGGACGTCTGCGCTCACCATTGCTGGTGAGATTCTGGAGCAAGTAGCTTGCTTCACTTATCTAGGAAGTCGCATCACGAACGGTGGCGGTGTTGAAGAGGAGGCTTCACAGCCTTTTGCAAAATCCCACCTTGCTTTCATCAAACTGAGACACCTATGGCGTCGTCGTGATGTCAGTCTCCAGCTCAAGGGCAGGGTGTACAATGCTTCCGTCCGTACGATCTTGCTGCACGGCTGTGAGACTTGGCGTGTTTGCTCGGAAGACATGAGACGGCGGTCAGTTTTTGACAACCGTCGTCTGCGAAGGTTGGCCCGTGTGTGGTGGCAACATCACATAAGCAATACGAGGTTCACGAACGAGTGCTTGGAGCGAAAAGCGCTCGGCTTCAAAACGTTGGTCTCCGACATCGCATACGTTGGCTCGGCCACGTACTGCGGATGCCAGCACATCGCCTTCCCCAGCGAGGGTTAGTTGAGCTTCCCGGAGCCAAATGAAAAATATGTCGAGGTGGACAAACAATGACGTAGAAAAGTAGCATGAAGAAAGGAACCTCAAGTTAAGCATCAGTCGGATCAGTGCGTCTCCCAGGTTGGGTACTACATCAACTGGAATAACTGTGGTTGCAAACGTTGAATGTGTGAATGTGATGGCACGTAACAGCCATCAGTGGCACCAGTATTGTTATGCCGTTTTACCTACTGAATAATCTCTAGTGTAAAGAAAACTCAAAACGCCGTGTGTAAAACCCAAAAATAACCGTCCTTTTTATAGTTTGCTTTTTTACGCCTATTTTCTTCCCTTTTGCTATGGTCCGGAAGGCACATTATCAGCATAGAGTTGTGAATATATATATATATATATATATATATATATATATATATATATATATATATATATAGGTGGCACAATACGTAGTTTTATTTTCTGTGTGCCGATAATCTCCAAATCCTAGGAAGTAACTAATCTGCTCTGATCTGAGCGATCAAGTCCCACCCGATGCCTCCACCGCCACATATCTATGCGATTAGGTGCGGTGGACTACCTTGGTTCACCCGTGTTTGTGAAACGTTAGGTAACAGCAGATTATCGAGTAAAGCTAAACCATTAAGAATACTCTCAATACAAGGCGTTTTTGATTATTAAATTTGGGATTACATTTGTCCTTCAAAATTCTAGTGGTTAAATCTCAGTATTTCCCACAGTCTTCTACAATAAAATCAAGGTTGACTTATTTGTGGACAAAGCACAGTTCTAGGTACATAAGTTTACTATGGATGCCTTAATTAATTGTATTATTAAAAAAGCTTAGTCATGCATGCTTTCCTTTTGTTTCCGTGTCATTGATGCTCTATGTCGTCGGACACATAGCATCCTATCAAAATCACTTTTTATCAGTCAATACAATAATAAAAGTTATCTTTTTCAGCCGATGGTCAAACCACAATTCTATCCTGTCTCTTCGGTAGCTTTTATATGTAGAACTGACGTAGCTATCACCAGTCTGCGCGACTGAATATGTGAGCGACATTCGCACACAATGCTTAGAACAATTTATCACATGAATCTTTCAAAGTGCTTTACGAGATTTGCAGTGATGTCGCAAATGCAGAAAATAGGGGGCCCATTAACTTTCATGACGACTACCATGATGCGAATGTCACCCCTATTGCTTCGGTATGCTCTTATCAAACATGCAAAAAAGTGCAGTGTGGGTATACTGCTATGGATTATAGGGGGAACTGCCATGATTGCGGGTGCTCCGTGCACAAAAGAAGCAAAACACTTCACTAATTGACTTACTTATCTGTTTGATTCACGTCCGTGTCTGCCTCGAGACAAAGTTCGCATACTGCATGGTTACCAACCCGAGCTGCGCCGAGTAGCGGATTGAGTCCTTCACTGTCGAACAAATTTGGATTGGCTCCGTACTCCAGTAAACAGGAGACCACTTCCAAATGCGTCGTTGAAGGCCGGACGCAGAAAGTGGCCACATGTAACGCGGTTCTTCCGTCTTCATCCGCGTGATCCAGATTCGCACCTGTCACACAAGGCGAACGAAATATTTTGGCGATGATGAATCTCGCGGCAACAAAGCAATTCAGAAACGGCCGTCTGGTGTTTTTCCAGATGTGTGGTAGGCTCCCTGGCTCAGAAGCTACTGCAATGAAATCTCAATACCACTTCGAAAATGATACTGCAAAATGTGAGTTGATACTCATAAGAACAGCAAGTGCAAAGCGTGTCACTCAACTCACTCATCTCAGCAAATTAGTTGTCATAAGAAATGTGGATACTGGCTTTAACTTGTGTAATATGGTTTTGCCATAAAAGTTAGCAGCGAATGAAATGACAATTAGACAATCTCGGCAGCTGAACATTGGCTCTAGGATCAACGTAATCGGATCGCATAACATTCCGATTACTGTAAAATCGTTTACAACGGAACAGCGTCAGTTATGTTACTGTGTTTAATGACGAACTTTCACAACTACGTCTGTTCGACATACTGACGTATAAGTTGAACTGATACCAACCTGTTGTATCGTTCAAGGAGTCCGCCTATCTATACACTACGCGGAACTAGAACCCGCTCAATGACCGCCAACAGGGACCGACAAACAGCTGTTTGATAAATAGCAACTTTAATAGCCGATTTAGAGTACTAATGAGCGATGAAAGAATACCCCAAACACCCTAGCCATTTAGCGACAATGATTTCCGGAAGCAACCGAGAGAAGGTGAGTTCTTGATGAGTAGGAGGATATTTGATGACTTGTTACAAACTTTTTCCAGTGCTACTATATCCCAGTTAGTTTGCAAGTTATATCGGCGCACTGTTGTTCCCCATGGCCCAGTGGAATAAACTGCTGGTTAGTACCTCAAAGCGCTATATGTCACGGGTCCATTTCCTGATGCAGCCGAAGTATGCGAAACATTGAGAAACTTAATAGGTTGAAACGGCCTTCTGGTACTTTTTCGGTGTGGTGATTAGACTACCTGGCTTTAGAGCCGCTGGTACGAATCAGCAAACTTTGTGTTCCATTCTCGGCCATCCAAAACTAATAGCATCAAAACAACAAGAGGAGAGCTGGCAACGAAACAGTAACTTGTGGTTAAGTGACATGACATCGTACCAAATCTGGTAACTACCTATATTTTTTTCAAGTCATTTTATTAGATACCGGGTGTGGGGTTTTGTGGGCCAAAAGCAATTGATTAAGGTGTACTTATGATTAAGGTGTCGTCGGCGATGCGGCTGAATTGCTTCGTAATACAGAAGTTGCGATGAAAACTCCTATAATGTAGGACTCTGAGGGCAGTTATGACCCCGTTCTGTCAAGGTGTAACCACAAAGTCATTAACCTTGAAATTGGACATTACACAAGATTCTACCACGCACGGCCAAACCTCGCACCATCACCTGGCATCCTGACTTTTCGCCAAGTTCCGTTACCCTGAAGTTACGCATAAGCGCTGAAATTGCACTGAATCCAAGCTATCAGTTGTGTATAAACCTCAGCACTTTCGATGGTCTTCTGCATGTCCGAAAATGCCACGCAAATCAGCACAAAACACCACAACTGGTCGCATTTTCCAGGGCATTGAAGCACGAGTTGTGGAAATTTGTGAAGCTCAGTCGTATAAGTGGACTGTATCCAGAGAAACAGTGAGGCCGGAAAACTGCTTTTCAATACTATGCACTCTTCGGATATCTCGGGTTGCTAAATCCGTGTTTAGTTACATGTTCCGTGTGGTATGGAAACTAGTTGAAGTAAATTTGTTTCCATAACGCAAAATGGATTACGAATATCAAATTAAGGTTTATGTCAGTGCAACAAGACGGTGAGAGTACAAACACGCAAAATTGGTTCACAACTCGCTGGACGCTATAGCCTTCCCATACGACGGTTGTGAATCAATACGTCGTAGATGTTGTGTCGCCACTGATGCCTTCACCCCAGGACCGCAAGAAGAAGACCAAAGACGAGCAGGAAAGAGATTTGTATGCATGAAATCACAGTTGCTTATATAGTTTTGAAGGTAAAATGAAGGGAAGCTACTAAAGTACACTTGAGCCAATCAACAGAAGGAAAACGTAAAATGCAACGGGCGAATAAGCAACCGTGTAATCAAGAGCGAATCGCATATGTCCTTAGAAATAGCATCATGGGACTGCAAGCGTAAAACGAAGATCCATTTACAATGACGGGCACTGGCCAATCAGAATAAAGAAATGTAGCGTTTAGACAAATGTCACGGACCAAAGGAGACTAAGAAGTGCAGACGCAAAAATGAAGAACTAGTAAAATAATCATGAGACAAATAACTATTCCTTTAACGTAGCCAAGTAGAAAAGTGGTGCGGAGAAAAATCGATGGAATGTGTTCTTACAAACGGCACTGCTGAAGATGACACGGAGATGAGCGCCCATTAACAAGGACGTGTGTGTACCAATCGGGCTGATACAGTGGAACGGTTAAACAAATGTCAAGAAGCAAACAGTAACGAAATGAATACAGGCAACAAATGGCTATCATAAAATATATATCCAGTTCTCAAACTCCTAACAGTAGCGTACAGAGCTGTGGGCGGGCAACACCCAGTTTCCAACTGCCTCATCAGCTATGGTATTAGTGATCGAGCTGACCAAGGTTCAATTCAGTGTGAATCACGGTCTACAATAAAATTGCATGTCGCGATCCAATCCTACCACGTGCAACTCGAAATAACTCCCTGATGAGTTAGTACCCTTATACCAAGCGGTGCCCGTCGTGAACCGGTGGCTTAGGGGTAGAAGTCCCAACTAACATCCCAGTAGGCTTGTTATATCAACCTGACGGAATGAATAAGATCGAAACGCGTCGTGGTGTGCAGTGTTTTCGGGCGGGTAACCTCCAATCCACGAATACTCTTAAATTTCAAACACATTTTTGAGTGCGATAGCGAATTCAGCTAGCAAACTCCCTTGTTTTATACTGGCACTAATCGGTGCCAGGCATGGACTGCGCACATTTTGCAAAAATACATTACTGGGGACCATGATAATCCGTGCAAACGGAATAGAATCTGGGAGCATTAGGGTAGGAGTGGTCATCATCTCTCTGGGGTATGGACAGCATTTGATCAGCTAAAGTATTCCTCTTCGTGTCGAGACTTCATCTTGCCCTATTTCTCTCTCCTGTTATTTGACATAACACTAATGATTCATCAATTGCGAGCCCGATTGCTTGACTGAAAATAAACTGTCCTTGTTCTCATAATCACTTCGCATTCGTTTTCCACCGAGTATATGGTGGATTATATTCGCAGTGTTAGGGTAAATTGCTGAAAATGCTCCCGCGTGGGTGCATAAAGCTTAGGCTGACTTGTCTTGATTTCCCATTTTCCAGCTTTGGAGTTGTGCTCCTATGCTATGTTGTTGAATTGGTGAGTGGCTTCATACAGCAGCTCCAACTGAAGGTGGATGACTGTAGAAATATGTACGAGCAGGTCGCAGTTCAACGTTAGACATGGAAAGATCCTGGTTCCCGTACATGGCAAATATGATTATCTCCTTAGTGAGTGCGAACTGTGGAGGATTAGACCTACCAGCGCTTACGTGTGACCGACCAGAAATTTGTGCTTATTTGATGCAGTCACGTAGGAAATGTCCAATGTACACAATTAAAGAACCAACGACCGCCAACTCTGAGACTGGACTGTAAGATAAATTTCCATTGATTGCAATGATTCGGAATACCTGTAGCTCGGGTTCGTAATTAACGTTTTGATTCGTTCTCCGAGCTGAGTAATTGAATGTCAAACGTTTCACCACCTCCCTCAGTGGCATCTTCAGTGTACAGCTTCGTAGGGGAAATCTCACGGAAAATGTCGTTGGGACGTAGCGTTTGAAAATAGCCTCGTCGAACTGTGTCCCGTGATCTCTGTTTGTTCGATACTTAGCCGTCCAGCTTCACGCTTTCTCAGCTGTAGGTACACGGGATCGAGATCAATGCGGAGGTTCAGGGAATTCTCCGTAGAGAACCATGCCTCGAGGAATTCCCTTCCTTTTCTTGTGCTTCCGGGCGCCAGAATTTCTGTTTGGTCCCAGTTAACACTGTGTATTTCCTCATCGTGGTGTGCTGAGATCTGTGACGATACATAATGATATCGACACGCACGCTTGTGCTCTTTTATTCTTGTGGATAATTTTCTCCCCGTTTGACCTACATAGTCTTTGTCACAAGTCTCGCATTTTATCCTGTAGATGACATTTTGGTGTTCTTGTGCCGTACACTGAAGATGCCATTGAGGGAGGTGGTGAAACGTTTGACATTCAATTACTCAGCTCGGAGAACGAAGCAAAACGTTAACTTCCATTGAGATTGGTACTTTGGGTTCAAACAATCGATGCTGCCGAAACCCGTGGTGCCCCGGTGAGATGATACCATAGCTTACCAGGTGGCCAATCAGTGCGTCGCGATGACTGCTTCCATGACCTTGGTGAGCACAGTGGAAGCGTCACTGGGCGGTAATGGGTAGATTCAGTTCGATTTCCTCCTTGTGGTCATACCAGTTTCCACTTTGACTGAGCTAAGTTCTTGTCCCGAGAGCACGGAAACATTCCAGCATGACTGCTACGTTCAGTGATTCGGGTGAATGTTATCCGCTCCAAGGGAGCTGTGTGTGCTTAAGGATAGCAGCATTTTTAGCGCCGTTTCTATAGTGAATGTGATGGTTAAATCTGATGGTTAGAGTGACGGGGAGAAGAAGGGCGTTCAAGCCTTCTACTCATTGAACAACAAAGTATTGGGCCCGTAGGACGTTGATCGCCCCGCTGGCTATATATGTGCATCTACCAACCATGGTGAGTGGTGGGTTTGCGCTCCGCACCTTGGGAAGTCTATTGAGGTGTCTTTAGAGATGGATTTTTTCTTTAGTGAAGAGTTTAATACACCAACCAACGTTTCTTACATAAAATTGATTACGGCATCATCATCTTTGCAGAATGGGCCCAGAAAAGTACCGCCAGGACACAAAGAGTTAATGCCAGTTCAA